CCCACCTCCGCACCTATTCCCAACATAATCGGTGGTGTAATTGTCTGGTATTTACCGGACTGTCCTCCGGCTGGCAAGCGCAACAAGCAGCATCATCGCTGTGACTGCAGTCAGTCAGCTTCACCCCTCCGTCCCTCTACTACTTACTAGTATCTATCCCTCACTTCAGTTACTCCTCACTCATTCATTCAATCATTCCGTCACCTTACTACCTACCCACTACCTTATCCATTGGTTTTCTCATATCTATCTAACCCCTCTCCAAACCGAGAGAAATCACTTAACAAAGCCCCCTCCCGAGCATCGAAAGCAACATGCAGTCCCCACCATGACCTCCCGCGAAGATAGTGTCCTGGCCGCCAGAGACCCCTCCCTCACCGACGAAAACGACTGGGAAGAGTTCAGCCTGTCGGAAGTTCGAGTCCTGGTTCCGGGCAAATCCCGCTATGCGAATCTGTTGACTGCCTCGCCGGAGAATCCGGTCCAGGTGACGGGGTGTTTGGATGAGGTGGAGGAGGAGCAGGAGAAGCTAGGTAAATTCCCTCGTTTTCTGTCTATGTAGCTACGGGGAGGGTGAGGTGCTAACTGAACACTGGCTAGTGCTCGACCCAGAATATTTGACGAAACGCATCGTCCTCGAAAACGTCACCCACTTCGCCTACGGACAACATAATGACGGGGAAGTCGGGTTCTGGGTGGCTGGGAAGGCGGGCTGGTTCTCGATATCTCCGGCGAAGGGGTACAAAGCCATCTTTAATGATGTGGTGGAGGCGATTGATTTGTTGTATTTCCTGGCGGATCGTCATCAGTCGAAGAGGAGGAGGAAGAGGAGGAATTGGAATCCGAGTGTAGAGTATTTGTGTGAGGAGGTATGTCCTGTTTCTTTCTTCTGTGCTTTGGTGGATGTTGTTTGCTGATGTTTTGGTTGGGGTAGTATGTGAGCCATACGCATGGGATTTGCGAGGATGCAGATGACTCTGCAGAGGTGTTTTATAAACATCATGACTTTCTGCTGTCGAGGATGTTGAAGGGCGAGGAGGATGTGCAGTGGACTACTACGTGCATCTTTGAGCATTTGTGCGAGAAGTTTCCGGTATGTCGTCTGTTCTTTCTTGGGGGAGATGTGGGAATGTGCTAATTGTGTAGGATGATTACGAGCAGATCAAAGCGCAGTATGAAGGGGCGAAGGAGGTAGAGTCGGAGGAAGAAGAGGAAGAGGAACAAGAGGAAGACAAGGAAGAGGACGAGAATGAGGACCAGGATGAGGCGGAAGCACAACCGGATACATCTGGACTATCGAAAGACCAGGCAGATGCTATTTACAAGGTTATTCTCGACCTCAAAGAAGCAGGATACCTGGCCAAGCGTCAATTGACCTTCGAACTCCTAATCAACACCCTCGTCGAACGTTTCGCAATCGATAGTACCGAATACGCACACGACCTCGTCGGTGCACGGGCCGAAGCTATCATAGAAATGATGGACGAGGCGAAAACATACAACTTTGACTGGTCTCGCAAGGTTATCTACCGCGAGCTCAAAGCCGCGGCCAAGAAAAACAGAGTTCAGCAAATTACGCTCACGCCGCTGCGGCCTCGCCCGACCGAGGACGATGAATCGTCCGAAGAGAGTGAGCATGAAGACCATCCCCGACTGCGAAGACGTAGGGTCCACAAGTCGGTTTTGCGACCGAAGAGCTCTGTTGCCACGAAGCAGACCGGCAAACGAACACGAAGTGCAGTGGATGACCAAGATGACGACTCGGACAACGACGACGACGCAATGAACGAGTTTGAGACTCCGAGCAAAGTCCGCGGACATGATCTCGTTCGCGACCCGTTGTCGACCCGCGCGAAGCGCAGGACGCGGTCGCTTTTGTACGATGCAACCCCCATCCAAAAGACACCATTGCAAGAGACGCTTCAGAGCCGGAACACGTCTGTTTCCGGGGCGGACCGTGAGACAAATGCGGATGCATCAGATTTGGAAGCCACCCATGAGGATGACATGACGTCCGATACCTGGACGTGTCAGGTTCGAGGCTGCGAAAAGGTTATCCACAAGAGCAATTCCAAACGTGGCAAGGAGCTGATCCAGGATCATGCTTTGGCTCATGCGGATGACACTAAAGCAAAGATCGATCTTGTCTTTGCCGAACAGAGACTCAACATTGGACTTCCTGTTGACAATCTCCTCAGTCGTATCAGAGAGTTGGGCGCATTTGATACCGAGCATCCGGTGGATGGCGCCTTCACTAATGGAGTGAAGACATAATCAGGCATACAATGAGATGCAACAATTAGATACAATTTCTGTGCACAGATGATGTGCGTGTGGAGTCTACAAGGTATGGTGCTTATTGCTTCTACAGTCAATGACATGCTTACATTTCTCAGTAGCGTAGCTCGCAGCACTTACGGAGTCAGGTTAGCGGCGTTGAGTGGCATGATACATGGCGGGTGGGATTCTGCTTCTTGAGATATGATGTGATACCAGAGATACCAGCATAATGAAGTCCCCTACTCAGGTTCAGCTAGATAGACAGTCACCATTCCATGATTATCAATATACAAATCAAACTGTCTATGGAAACACTGCTTTTATAACCCGACCGGTATCCGACAAGCTAACAATAAAACAAACCGTAAAGAAATGTACAGCGAATGGAATCAAGAACGGCCCTTAGCAGCAGCCCTCCTGCTCTTGCCAGGCCTCTTCGCACCACCGCCCTTAGGACCACCCTTCATCTTCTTGACCGAGAAGTCACGCATATCACCACTCGAAACAGCATCACCACTCTTAGCAAAGCGCTTCTTACCACCGAAACCGAACTTCTCATTCTTCTTCTGACGCTTCATCGACGGACCACCCTCAGCATCACGACCGCGCTTGCGACCACCACCAGCCTGAGCCGCATCATCGATAGCGACATCGAACATGTTGGACGAATCATCCGTAGGACCGCCAGTCTCAGCCTTGCGCTCTGCACAAAACAGTTAGCCACACAAACCAACCAACCCCAAAAGGAAAATGAAAATGGAATAGTAAGAACATACTCTTCTTCAACGCATTAATCTTCTCCAACGTCTCCCTCTTCTCCTTCGCCCTCTGCTGCAACTTCGCAACCTGCACCTGTTTACCAAACTTCTTCAAATCACGCTGCTTCCTAGCCTCCGCAGCGGCCTTCTTCGCCGCCGCCTCATCATACAACTTCTTCTTAATCTTGCCCATGTGCTCATCCGTCTTCACCATCTCGGCAAAGAAATCGCCCGGTCGCGTAAACGGCACGCCTTCCTTCTTGAGCGTGCTCCGCGCCGTCATCGCCGCCGCTTGGCATACCTTGTAGAACGCCAGTTCGCGGTTCAGGTCGTCGTTGGCGTCGGGCACTTCAATCGGCTCTTGGGAGACAAGACTGTTGTGCTCGGAAAAGGGCGTCGCGGGAGTGAGGAAGGAAATGCGTTTCAGACTGCTGGTGATGGCGGCACTGTTGTTGATTGTGAGGCGCTGGTGCGTGACGACGTCTTCGCGCTCGTCGTCCTCAAGGTCGCTGAGGGGGATGTCGGATTCTTCGTCTTCTTCGTCTTCCTCTTCTTCTTCTTCTTCCTCATCATCGGAGGGTTCTTCGGCGTCGGGGGTTTCTTCCTCTTCGGACTCTTCCGAAACTTCCTCCTCCTCTTCCTTCTTCTTCACCTCCTTCACATCATCACCCTTGATAGTGGTGGTAGTGGGATTCTTCTTCTTCGCCGCCTTAACCAGCTTCTTCTGCTTCTCGGCCTCGTAGTCGCGACCGCGGTGCTCGTCCAGAGCCTGAAGGAGCTTGCTGCGCTTAGGCATGGTGATTTGTGATATGTGGTGTGTGGGTGGGTGGAATTGGGGTGTTGTTGGTATGAAAGCTGCCGGCTGGAACTTTGCTTGCTGCAAATCAATGGGAATATTTTTTTGGGGAGATTTGGTAGCGCTAGGGATGCTTTGGGTTTAGTGTTGTGGGGTTGGGGGAGGAAGGTTGTTCCGTTATCGCGGATGGGTTATCGATAAGGTGTGGTGTGGTGATAAGGGATGGATGGATTGTTATGGAGAAGAGGAGTTGGCTATGATTGATAATTGCACATTTTGATCGGGGCTTGTGTTAATTGTGTTTGGTATTGTAATTATGGGGATATCTAAAATGTGGTTAAAATGAGGATTGGTAGTTTAGGAGCATGTCAACTTTGTTAATATTACAAGATACTGGTCATCAAACTATATATAACTGGGATAGGGCAATCCGCTCTGCTCTATGTTCATGCTCACCATTTCTAATTTACTTGGACAGCGCAGGCCCTAGGAAATGGCCATTCATAAACCCTTGGCATTATCACTGGCCCTCTTTGACCAGGGAAGGGGGGTCACTACTCGGTGCACTTGAACAGCGCCAGTCTACAGGCGTCAAGTATGGCACGTTCATGAACTTCCTGAGAGTCATAGTATAGTCTATCGTCGCTAGTCTAATTTGATCAGCAATAAGCTCGACTGACTCCACCGACCTGCTAGTGTCAGTCACCACTTCCCAGTGCTAGTGCTAGAGCTACATTGATGGGATATATATGTATATGCATTGCGTCCAGTCAGCCAGGAGACGGAGAGAGATGTGCCCCAACATAATTATTATCAGCTTTCAAAACAATGGTGGTAACTCCTTCCTTTCTTGATGCTGGTATGGTAGTGTCCCCATCCAGAAATCCTCGAATCTGCAGACACTTGGAATACTCAAACAACTTCCACAAAGGCTGTGTGTCAAAAAGGCAAAGACAGCTACTTCTGGAGGACATGTTCTCTAGTAAAAGGTCAGTGTGTCGAGGGTGCAGCATTAGCGCCGCACCATCATTTTGGCGCACTCCGCACTTCTTGACCTGAATGCAGCTCGTAAGGATACCTAATGACTACCCGAGCTACCGCGAATAACTGAGAATATTATACACTAGCACGACCACCGCCTCATCTTGAGCCTGCTACTTTCCAGAATGCCGTTGTCATACAACAAGTTAGACCCCAGTGCCAAACAGATTCGTCTTTTGACTATCTTTCCGGATGAGAATGGCGAGAACCTTGTTCGAGCATCGCTCCATACCGTGTCTCTCAACAATGCCTGCGACTTCGAGGCCTTGTCTTACGTATGGGGTGACACCTCTGTGACCGTGGACATCTCAGTTGATGACTGCATTATTGGTGTAACACCGAATCTGCATGCTTTCTTGCGGGGAATTCGCCAGCCTGATTCAGAACGCACGGTGTGGGTTGATTATGTCTGCATCAATCAGAACGATATCTCGGAGCGGAACTCGCAGGTTCCTTTGATGTGTCAGATCTATTCGACTGCCACGTCGGTGATTGCTTGGTTGGGAGATCTGAAGCCGGAAGCACTTGAGCTCATCGAGTGGTATCATGCCAACCAAGATGGGGATTATTATAATAGCATCTATGATAGCAAGGGTCTTCATGTTTTGGAAGCTATAGCGCTGTTCTGTTTATCTGCTAACGCACTGTGTGCCGCGCAGTATTGGCGTCGTCTATGGACATTCCAAGAGTGGCATCTCTCAAGAGATGCCGTTGTATGCATGCATGGAAAGACGACTTTTACCATAGGGAACATCTTCAAGCGATTAAACACCGACATTGTCGTTGTCAGACTTCTTGCTAATTGGCTTACCTCCTCACAGGGTGCATCTATAATAGCAGATACATACGGGACGGAAAATCTTTACAATGCCAGTCGTTTCCTCTTTGAAAGGCAGCAAGAACTCGACAGTCTCTTGATTAAGATCCCTCGAGATATTCTGCTCCTCAATCCAGATACCCCGCGTCTATCTAGGCTTGGGGATTTGCTATTGCTTACGGTTGACCGGCACTGCAGTAATCAACTGGACAATGTATATGCGTTATATGGGCTTTCTCCTGCGGCTAGGGAAATATACCCTCCCGACTATCGAAAGACCATCAGCCAGGTCAATCATGAAACAACTTCATTCGTCTTGGGACACGAAGCCAATATACGTATACTCAAGGACTTTGATTTTTGTTTCAGGTCTTCTAACAGGGACGACTCACTCCCTTCATGGGTTGTGGACTTCACCGCGACGGATCCGGAGCATCGAGCAAAGATGCAACCAAACTTAGACTTATATAAAGCAGTGGCAATGGATGAGGTTCCCTGGAAGCCAATTCAAGATCATGCCCCTATAATCACAGATAATATGCAGACTCTCAAGCTCTGGTGTCAGAAGATAGGAGTTGCCTCTCCTCCATACTTGTTTGACTCACCAGCCTTGGACTGTCTTGGGCAGGTACAGGTGCTTGCCAAAACCGCCGCAACGCCCGATAATATATTCAAAGCTACTTATCACTACACTGGTTGCCAGGGTTATTTTATATCGAAAACATTCCTCGATATCATGACAATTCCTGTCTCTGATGAGCATGAAAAGTTTCTGGAGGCAACGAGAGGATCTCTCCCAGCGCTTCGCCTCTGTTTTGAAAAGCTTACAGAAAAGCGATTTTTTACGATGGCCACCTCAACTGGAAGGAGTATTGTTGGCTTTACGGGTTGTGAGATTGAAGAAGGTGATCATATTGTCGTCCCCTGTGGCATTGTCCAAGTGTTTGTTCTCCGCCCTATCCCAGAGAAGATGCTTGTGGATGGTGAAAAGGCCCAGTGCTTCAAGTTCATTGGGCGGGCTTTCGTCGAGAGCATATCACATCCAGAGGAAATTGATCCGGATCCTCTCCGTTCCGAATTGAAGAGAACACCTACTACACAGTTTTGTCTTCGATAAATGATTTTAGACAGGATAGACAAAGACATATCTCACTGTTGTGTGGGATACACCTCCCAATTTATAGGCGTATACGCTACATCCCAATGAAGCCTGCAAGTTTTCATTATTTGAGAAATATCATATAGAGATACTGCCATGAGACTACCATAGTAAGCATTGTATGCTAGTCTTGAATCAAGAATAGGCCACATCTATCATTGATTCGATAGGACTACACGCGTATATAGGCTTTTAGGATATACAAGCCACATACCACATGACAAAGACAAAAAATGGAGCTGCGGGGAATCGAACCCCGGACCTCTCCCATGCTAAGGGAATATTATACCACTAAACCACAGCCCCATTTGATGAATATAGTAATAACTCTAGATTCTCTTTCAGCCACCCCCGGAGTGATCTGTGCTTACTTTGGCAGATTTGGTGGATAAGGGGAGGAGTGGGATTAGTGTGAGGCATGATGTTAAAATTGTGAGGGATGAGAAGAGGGCTGGCTGATGGGTGGGGTGCAGTGGTTTGTTGTTCAGGCAGATTGGAATACATAATATGTTGGGACAGATATCTCTACGTCGCTTGGCTGACTAGACACGATATATCGTTTTTGGTCTAGCGGTTAGTGCTTCGACATAACATCACCTTCATGGATATTCATTCAATACCCCTGTTCAGTAAGTGATTTCCTCTTCGCATTATGGTTATCGAATGAGACGACATATCACTTAAATCAGTTCATTACCTATCATGCTGCTTCATCCCGTCCCACCACCGCCAGAACGTTGCCACTAGACGCGAGGCTCTATTTCCCTTGCTAGTGGCGTCTTCCAGATACAGTCTACGACATTGGAGATGCCGGTCAACCCTACAAATTAACCGAAAAGATAGATCGTTGTGATGAAGCATTCCAGAAGAATCTGTTGGGGACAAACTTACCCAGTGCATCGAACTCAAAGTAGTACACTACCAAGCCCACCTCAAAAAAGACATAACTAACAAAACATAGTTACACAAATAAAAACCCTGCTGTGCCTTACTGGAGGCGGCATGAGTATGAACTTGATATTGCATAGGGCTGAATACATCGTCTCTTAATACAATGATTCTTTCCAGGTCATCTTATAGATAGAGGACGGATTGTCAGAACTCTTAACCCCTGACTGCAAGGGACGCTACTTTCACTGTTTTTGTCAGACGGAGTCTCCGCCTCTGTATGCAGGACACCAAATCTAGTTCAAATTCTGTCACTCCCTACACATGCCATAGTCTTTTGTGGTAAGCGGACGGAAGGGCCGAGAGAACTATGCTCTGCAAGGGGGCAAGATTTGACATGTTGTGACAGTGGAACCATGAGCCAGAGAGAGTAGAGTATCGAACTCGGTAATGTAGCAGAATGGTGACGAAAGGGTCTATCTACAGGACACTGTATAGGGCTGCATTATGCGGGTTCCGTCCCCTTGGTAAATGGCATGTATACATCGGTGATTCCGAGCTCGGAGCCAACCGTGTAGTATAGTAAACTTCTAGCAGGTATGGATGTTAGATGCAGTGTAGAGATTTCAGTATATTCAACAGTCCCAACGTATTCAATCTCTACCTAGGTAATGATACAGAAAATCTATCTCCCATTACCAGACATATATAGCACTAAATTCATCACACTGCCGATAGCCATCCACCCAAGTCCAATCTACATCATCATCCACCTCCACCACATCCACCACCTCCCCACCCTAATCTGGCACTTCACCGAAAGCAACATCCCAACCTTCGTTCTCCCCAACTCCTTCTTCGGCTTCCTGGGCGCCCTCTCCGGCCCAGCCCTAACCACCCCCCCCACCACCCCCCACCTATCAACCCTCTTCCCCCGCCTGCCCCTAATAATCCTCTTCAACTGGGCCCTAGTCTTCATCTTCGACCTCTCCAACCAACGCCTCCCGGAATCCATCCACGAAGACCACCTCAACAAACCCTGGCGTCCCCTCCCAACGAACCGCATAACAGCCGACCAAACGCGCCGTCTCCTCATCACCATCCCCATCGTCCTAGGCATCACCTACACGCTAGGCGTATGGCAAGAAGCCTGCCCCATCCTGATCCTCACCGGGATGTATAATGACCTGAAAGGGGGTGATGAACTCATCCGTGATGGTATGATCGCTGTTGCTTATGGTTTGTATAATATTGCTTCGTTGAAGATTGCCTGTACCGGGGACGAGGGGGAGATACAACCCTCTGAGAAGGGATATCTCTGGACGATCGTGATCAGCGGCGTGATCCTCACGACGATGCAGATTCAGGATCTGAAGGATATGGCGGGGGATCGCACCCGCGGGAGACAGACGATTCCGCTGGCGTTCGGGGAGTGGTGGTCCAGGTAGTCTATTGCGGGGTTTGTTGTCGGGTGGAGTGTTCTCTGTGTGTGGTCTTGGGGGTTGGAGGGGTGGGTGTGGTATGTGGTTGTTGGGGGTGTAGGGGGGTTGGTTGTGGGAGGGTGTTGATTGGGAGGACGGTGGAGGGGGATGCGGCGGCGTGGAGGTTGTGGTGTGTGTGTGGTTGATGGTGTTGTATGGGTTGCCTTGTTTGGGGGGATGGAGTGGATGGAGTGGAAGGGTTTGGTGTAGGGACTTTACTAGATGGGGTTGAGGGTTATTGGGCTAGTATGCTATGATAGATGTTTGCAGATTTATATTTATTAGCAGTGGGTTAAAGCAAGATAGTAGAAGAGCGGGTTCGGTCAGGGGCCTGCCAGTGAATCGAAGCTGTCATTTCAGGTTACGTTTGACGGTGAACTTTATCTCTCGTGAGGACTTTATAGACTCAAGTACTACTAGTAATTTGCTAGGCGCAAAGGATGTCGGGTGAGTCTATCATCAATAACATGGATGAACCGACCAATGGCATCTGGATTAGGAACAGGGATGTAGAAGTGACTAATTAGCAACGTCTCTGTCTACTCTACCTATAGCCATAGAATTATAGGATAGGTGATCTTAAGAAATGCCATCTACTGCTACCCTACAACAACAGCATCCAACAGTATCCGCTTCCTCAACTCTCACTCCCAATAACTCTCTAATACGTATACTTAAACCCAGCCAAACCCTCAATCGGCTTCCCCCCACGATCAACCCGCTTATTTGCCCGCCAGAACTTGAAGCTGAGTCCCGCCACTACCAGAATAATCAGCGCGTTCGCAATCATCGTGGTCAACAGCCCGGGCCGGTAATTCGGTGCATCTTGGGCCCTAAAGACTGTTGTGCCGATGATGCCTCCGATACTGCCCCCGCCAATGAGGGTAGCGGATGTGAAGGCGCGTTTCCATTGGCCGCGGACGTTGTTACTAGTTTGCTGCATTAGCCCTGAGATATCAGGTAGAGAGGGTAGTAATTATGGGGAAGGGCTTACCTTTGCCATGAGACCAATGCCGGACAGTTCGCGTTGGCTACACTTCCATCAGCATGACGATCATACCTTCAAGCGAAGAATACTCACCAGCAATAGTCGCCAAGAAGACACCAAAATACCGTGGTCCCGACTCTTTGAGATACCCTAATAGTGCAAGCCCCAGCAGTCCCATAGCGGCATTCGCAGCAATGATCGGTCCCCTCAGGTGCCATTTATCGGCATAAACCGCCTGGGTGTACATCACTATCGCCGCTGCAACATACGGCGGAGCCACCAGACACTGGGCCTTAGCTACCGAAAATCCCATACTGTCCTCTAGAATGATAGGAAGGAAGTAAGCGATCGAGTAGCTGTTCGCTGTGGTGAGCATATACATGGCCGCGTATGCCCAGACTTTGCTATCTGCGCCGCTGCGGAGATAACTTTTCAATGTGAATGGCTCCATGTAGACGTCCGAGCGGTCGTTCTCGATCGTAGCTACCACGTAGGCGGCCTCTGATTCGTTGAGAAAGTGCCATGACTTGGGGGATTGTTCGGGAAAGTCGACGAGGATGGCGTAGGAGCCGATGCCCATTACGCAAGTTAGGATGCCCTCGATCTGTGGTGGTCTGCATTAGTGTTTGTCTGTAGGGTCTGTGGGGCACGGGGCAGTACAATGAAGATCCATCTCCACCCGGACTTGCCGCCGAGTCCATCCATCTGCATCAGTCCATATGCGAGAATACCGCCGAATCCGGATGCCGTACTGCCAATCAGGTAGAAGAGGGCATTTCGCTTCTGTAGTTCGAAGCGAGGGTACCAGGTACTAAGGAGGTAAACGCAGCCTGGGTAGAAACCTGCTTCCAGGGCACCAAGAATGACCCGCAGTCCAGCCAGCACTGGCCATGTTGGCGAGAGGCCAAAGCCCTAGTTGTAGTCAGTCAACGCCTCCACTACCACCTCTAAACAGTATAACACCCCATAATCGTAAAACTTACAATCATCACGATTCCCCACATCAAAACAATAGCAGATAGAAACAGCCTCGGTCCAAGTTTCCGAATAATTACCGTCATGGGGGGCTGAAACACGGTATAGGTGATGAAAAAGACCAACGAGCTAATACTGTAACCATTATTCTTGGCATTCATCTTCAATTCTTCCTGCATCCTATCAGTACAACAAATTGAGTTAGCTTAATCTCTTGGCCAAGCCATGGCCTTGAAGCGGGGTTGAAAGAAGACTGGAAAGCCCATACCCGGCAACCGAGGCAGCTCCCAAGTTGGTTCTATCCAGCAGACTGATGCAATATAAACAACCCAGTGGGATTACAAGACGAATGTCAATTCGTCTCGTGAGTCTTTTTTTCTCCTTCGGAGTAAAGTAGTCAAGGGATTCTCCGGGTTGAATGCTGTTCTTCTCGGCATCTTCGATGTGAGATGCCTCTAAGGCTTTTTCTGCTTCCATTGCTGCGGGTACGGGGGATTCTTCTTTCATGCTTGGAGGCTTCAGGATGGAGGATTGGGATGCATTTCTTGACTGCTGTAATGGGATGGCATTATATAGCTCTCAAAGGGATAGGCATAGACGAAAGTTTCCCCGCATGATGACCCCGCAGATCTATTACCCCGGATTTCGCCATTGCAGGCCAAGGGTAAACATAACTCGAGGAGAGAGAATTGAGTTGTGGGTAACGATAGGACACGTCACGAGTCCCGCAGCTGTACGGTAGATGGAAAGTCCATGGCAGGTCACTGTGTACTTGGCACCGAGGGACAAGAGAATCAGTGGAAGGGATCGTTTGGGCCCTGTTCCGTGTGGCGAGGGACTCGTATAATACGACAGAATGGATCTTGGTTCTCTTATAGCCAGAGCCTGGATCATCTCTGGGTATATTAAAGTTATCAGTATCGTTCTCGAGTCTTTCGGCTCTCCCGAGGCAGACCGGGGAGGAGACTGATATGGGAATTTAGAGTTTGTTATCTCTATTCCAAGTCATGACATCAACATGTCCATGTGAGATATGATTGAACAGTCTGATTTGGCAAGCTAGTGACCCAAAGTACCTAAACGGAAGTGTTTCCGCGATTCATCAGCATTTCATCAGCCGTCCGGGCTGCAAGTTCAGCCTGCGGGGCTGCTTATAAGCTATTAATCCATGAAAAGTGCATATTGTATCAACTCGGGTTGTACAAGAGGCTGTTGGCAGATAGTCGTTATTCAGAAAAAGGAAAGATAATCATCTCTGATGAGAGTTTGCGAAGGTGGGGGGAGATCGCTAAGGATATAAATGACATATTCCCGCCCAATGCTAGCTGCGTCGCCGATGATATCCGTGTCTAAGCATCACCGGTATGATAGTACCCAAACATAAACCTCACAACTCTAGTGGTATCTAAACAAATCCCTTCCATAAATCAAACCAGTCAAGCCACAACGCCAGCAGAAATTCAGAGACAGCCGCACATTAAAATCCCCCAAAAGGATAATGGCTAATGGAACGATGTGGCGCAACATAGTAATCCTGATATGGATGATTCTCCATCGAAAAGTCCGCAGTCGCCATGAGCGGATTAATCACCCCAGCTGGCACCTTGGGCCGGGCAGGAGTATGATCCGCTGTCAAAGGATGGTCACTGTTGAATAACGCCAGGATATCTTCCGACATGTGCATTGGAGGACCGTGAGAGTCACTCCAGCCCCAGGCTTCCTGAAGCTCCTGCTTCACGTGCTCTGCCTTCCAGCCCGTCTGCTTTATGATATCCTCAAGGATGCCCAAGGCCTCTTGCTGAGCTTCCCTAGTTGCCAGGCACTCTGCGGCAATAGCGAGGAAACGAATCGATAGACTTGCGACTCCGCTGCTTCATATTAGCCATTAACTCATTATACACATACTGGCAGTCAACGTACCGATCCCTGGAGTGTGCCACGATGCCGCAGATATCCCTTGCATGGCTTTGCTGTACGGTCTGCATCTCGGCACTGTACTCCGACTCCACTGGATTTGTCTTCGTAAGCAGAATGCGTGCAGTGTGGTATAGTAGTCGAGCGATGATCGTGGAACGCTTGATCAGCCTATAAATGTTAATATGGTATGTGCGAAGAGATCGACCGATGCTCACCATATCTGTGGAAAGACGGATTTAGAGTTTGTCTGCCACGATTGAATATATCCCAGAGGCATCATGGACCGCGGTACGGCTCGAGCCCATTGATCGCACCACTCATTATAAGTGCACCATTCCTGATAACGTTGGCTAATCCGCACGTCGTTGGCAGCCTCCAGTGCCGGTGGTTGGGCTAGCGATCGAAAGTTCGCAATTTTGGCGCAAATGAAGACCATCTGATGCGTCCAGGCTTCTTCATTGCCTGCAACACTTGGCTGTGCATGGTTCAGATCCAGTTCAACGCCCCACGTGTCCGGGTCCCAGGAAAGCGTCCAGTTGAAATGCAAACAGCTGAGTAGTTCCATGCTTACATTCAACCAGAAACAAGCACCTCCCAGTCCCGGCGTTTTGGCATTCCAGTGACACTCTTTGATTAAAGCTCGCGCACCAGCAATGTGGCTCATGCCTTGAATTGGTCGGCCAGACATTAACTCGTAGATGTTCAGGAGAATCGCCGTAGTTGCGCATAGAGCCGAATCACGATCAGGGTCTTGTAATGAGCGAAGAAGATATTGTGAGGCGACATTGTGATGTTCTGCGGCCTTCTCCTCCCCGTATGAGGCGTCCACGTGGAAAAGATGCCTCGCACCGCATGCCAACAGGGCTTTGAGAAGCATAGGTTCTTCGAGCGCATGAAATGGCAGAATATGCGTGAACTATGGAAATAAGCAACTGACGACACGTCGCAAGGATCGACAACTTACATGTTTCACCGCATCCATCGAATCCATCCATAGCCCAACCTCTTCAACAAATACCTGTAGCAGGTATACTTCTTCTGGATTGTTGAGACAAGTATGGTTGGTAGCATTGATATGACCATCTTT